CCTGGACAGTTGTGAGATAATTTTGATCTATTTCCATCCATTTTCTGTTTTTGTGCAGTCCTAAACTAAGGTTTGTTAACAGGATTGTATACCTACCTACAGCATTGCAAAATTAAAGGAATGAAGACATTTGAGGAAAAGTTTGCATTTTCACGTTGTAAATAGTGATTTTACGTTCTCATTTTATTGGCTCAAGATTCTGACGAGGAAGTTTAGTAGGCCCCAAAAAAGCTACGAACAAGCTCAAAGCTGCTTGTTGTAACAATCCTTAAAGCAAGATGATAACATTTTGCTCGAATTTGATTTGCTTGTTTTTTTTTAGAAGTTGTCTATACTGCTAATATCTTTGGCGCTCCGCGATATTGCAGAAATTGCACACAAGAACAATATCATCTCCTTTGTGGCTCACTAGGTGAAAAATTTTTGTTTGAAACGGCAGCTGTTAGAATCTATATATCATGATCAATCAAGTGTGTTGTTTACAAAGTTTTCCAATCAGTTTCTTAAATCTGATAACCAGAACGACGAACTTAAAATCATTATCAAACGCTGTTCAAATAAACCAAGGTTGTGACAGAAATAGTCAAATCATTTTTAGCTATTTATGGGAAATTTTCAAAAAAAAGAATCATACACTTGACTAAAAAGTTATGAATATTATGGGGGATACCTTACCGCAAGAATTTATTACATTTTCTTCACCTATACCTATGTTCTAAAATTTTACAGAGAACATCATGGAAGTATCGAGTTCTAACCCGTCAAATCTTTAAAGAATGCTCTTCAAAGCTAAGATTTAATAAAACTACGTAAGGTGGAATATTTTATCATAGCGCAGCATTCAACTATACAGGGTGTCCAATATTCAGTGTACATAGAAGTACCACGGATTTTTAGACTCAAAATAAGTCGATTGCAAAATTGCTTCGTTTGTGCGTTAGAGGGCGTCAAAGTTTTCTTTTTAAAACATTTCTCCAGATATTTTTGGAACCGATAGTCTGATTTGAATAAAATTTGGAACATATGTGGTTCTAATATTTGACTTTTGTGGCAAAAAATCAGAAGGGAATTTTTTCGAGACTATCCCAACGACTCTAATTTTGGATTTAAAAGGTCCTCGCACAGTTTTCGGAGCTGCTTTCTAAGAAACTTTCTACTTACATCTAGTGTTAAAATATAGTAGGCATCTAGTTGGCGGAAATGTGGGATGTTATGTCAGTGTCAGATTATTTTTGACAACAAGCTTCATAAAGTTTAAATTAATATGTAATGCTTGAGCTTATTTTTGCTCGTTAATTTTTCGACTGTCCTCCATAAATCTTAAATTAATTGACGTTTGAGGTTATTTTTGTTTAAGTTGTTGTTGTCTCGTAAATATGGAATATTCTTTTGACGAATAGACTGATATATAAAGAGAGATATCCGAATCGGCTAATACTAAATCTTCCGACTTTTACAATCATAGAACGCCGAAAATACATTAAAAAATAATGACATCTTAGAGAAAGTTAAGTACATATATTATTTTGCGCCGTGTCTATTGTTATGTGCAGGAATGAAAATGGTAGTCATATTGAACATCTTTTATGAAAGATTCGGACTTTTCCCTTCGCAAACTACTGTTAAAGAGTCAATAAGATGCCTGGGAACCTCTTGATGCAACTCGTTTTTTTTTTTCTCGAAAACTATCCGAGATGGCATGTTTTTATGTGAGACAAAAAATGAAGTAAATAAAAATATCTGCTAAATAAAAAAATCAGAGCGGTCGAGAAAGTTGCCGAACAATTCTGAAAAATAAATATAAATTGTCACTTATAAAAATTATTGCTAATCAGTCGCCGTACGCTAGGCGGGTTCGAATACCGTCCCAAGAGAATTTTTATCTTGGCTATGGATGTTATGATTGTTCGTAGGTGGTAGACCAGTCTCTGACTGTCGAACGCGGAGGTACCACCTGACGGATCTCTAAGGCAGGGCCAGAATGTGTGTATATTGCATGCATGTTCCCTAGCTAGAATCCGGGTGGCATCCCCACTTTCCCCTTTATTCCCCCTATAGCGTCACGGTACTCATAGGTGCTTAGGCCTTTGGCCTTCGTGGTGGTACAACAATAGAGAAATCAAGTTATTTTGAGTTTAAAAATACGTTATGGGTATGCTTTACGTGATCTGGCAACACCGCATTCTGTATTCCATGTCAGCTAACAGTCGTGGGTCAATGTCAAGCCGCATACAGACCGCAAATCCAACGCCGAGCAAACAAATGCAGGCACATGTGGGCGTTTGTTGTTGGAAGGTATTGGAATGCGCTCGTCTACCCATCGTGCACACCTAAAAAATGTAGTTTCGAGTTGGACCGCGTCGGGTTAAGTTCGGTGGTAATGTCGAGCGATGAATCTCCTCTCATCGAATGCTGATAAACGACTAAATACTAGAAGCGCAACAAATCCTGTCTAGACCAAATCAAACCTCCCTTTGATGTATCGATCAAGGAGCGAACGCAATCAAACGACAGCGCCGACATTGGAAACCGTTGGCTTATGTTCGCTCGCGCCGTACACACCGATTCGAACACCTCCAAATCTGTAACATGCGCCTTGGCTTGCGTTGGAATCTCGGTCTGTACGCGGCTTCAGATGATGACGATGCAGGCTTGAGCATGAAGTCATTCGTGGTTGTGGTCGCCAAAAATTCTTGTGAAGTTTTGAATAAATCCTTAGTTAAAGTGAATTCCCAATGTAAAGTTATTACGCCTCAGAATCCTAATACGTTACGATAGAGTTTACTCTTCCTTCATTCGGAAATTCTGAAAATTCTAATTTTTAGATTGATAGAAACGTTGACGTTTGGTATTTGTAGTTAATTAATTGAACAGCTAAATTAAAACTTATTTTTAAAAACATATTTTTTTGTTTATTTATTTTTTACTCTTCAGTATTTATGTCAAATAACTAGTTTAGTATATTCCACATGACTTTCATATGCTTTTTTAATAGGACTCCATAAAACCTTACTTCAAATGATATAATACAATTTTGACAGTTATAAACCATATAATGATAAATCAATGTTTTGGGGCGATCGCTATATCGAACTTAGAAATATAGATATTTTTCCTCAGTATGACCTTTCATTTGATACACATATCATAGCGGTGACCATGGAAATTATAAATCGTCACTCAGCGGCGGCCGGCATATTTGATCTAGAATGACGTCACTGCTTATTAAGTCTTTTATAGGTGACTATGAGAAAATTCAATCGTGATTTTGCGGCGTGAGCCATAAAGGATTTAGAATGACGTCACCTTACTTACTGAGTTTCTCTCATCAAGCCCTCTCAATTGACACCGATATCGTAGGGGTTTCTATAGAAATGATGAATCGCCATTTTGTATTATCCACCATATTGGATTCAAAATGTCGGCAGCCAATTCATTTAGTATTGTCACGCAAACTAAACCTGTGTACAAAATTTCAGCTCAATTGGATAAGGTTAACTAAAAAAATATCTCATTTGTTCCAGGATGTCTCTGCTCCTTCACAACCGGCATGCTGACTTCCTGGACCTCTCCGTACATCATAAACATAACAGAAGACAAAGAAAACTACGACATAACCGAAGATGATACCTCACTGTTCCCAGTCATCCCCCCCTTCTTCATGATGGTCAGCATTCCAATATTCTCGAAACTGGCAGACATCATTGGAAGAAAGAAAACGATCCTCATCTCAGCATTTCCATACTTCACTTGTTGGCTCCTAATGGCCTTAGCTAAAGACGTCTGGCTTTTTTACATCGCCAGAGCATTTGAAGGTGTATCTGATAGTATAGTTTTCGGAGTTCTACCGATGTATCTAGGAGAAGTTGCGACACCAAAAGTTCGAGGAGTATGGGGCAACGGAATGACACTCATGAACTACTTTGGAGAATTTTTAATCAACATTATCGGCATCAAGTGTAGTGTTCAACAGGCTTCGTATATAGGAATGACTATACCAATATTATTCTTGATAACTTTTGTGATCATGCCTGAGTCTCCGTACTTTTTGTTGATGAAGCAACGAGATGTTGAAGCCATGACCTCACTACAATGGTTGAGGAGGAAGATTAATATTGAAGATGATTTCAAGCAACTTCAATCGGATGTAAAAAGACAAATGTCAGAACAAGGCACCTGGAAAGAACTGTTTACAATAAGTGCTAATAGGAAAGCGTTGCTGGCTGGGATGTTTCTTAGAATTTCACAACAATTCAGCGGACTTTCTGTCTACTACTCTTATACTAAATTGATATTTGTGGAATCTAGAACCACTGTTAGTCCTGACATGTCCATACTCATTTTCACAGGCTTGAACTTCAGCTTGAACATCGTAGCATCTTACACTTCCCATTTCCTAGGAAGAAAGAAGTCCCAAATATATTCATTACTTCTTTGTTCTTTCGCATTAGCACCTTTTACAGCTTACCTATACATACTCCATTTTCATCCTGATGCAGATCTAAGCAACTGGCGATGGGTACCTTTAGCCTGTATGTCAGGCTATATCATATTTTCTGCGTTTGGAGTCGCAATCATACCATCTCTTATGCTTGGTGAACTGTTTTCCGCCAGTATTAAAGCAAAGGGTTTAACGGTACTTATCATGCAACTAGGGGCATTGCTGTTTTCTGTAAATTATCTGTTTTATTATTTGAAAAGTACTTATGGAATGTACGCGCCTTTCATGCTGTTTACGATATGTTCTCTAGTTTCGTCAGGTTTGGCGGTATATCTGGTACCTGAGACTGAAGGGAAAACGTTGGAGGAAATTCAGCAGGGCTTGAAGAAGAATAAGGAGAATAGTTGATGATAAAGGTCGATTAGACTCATTTATTTAAATTATTTGAGAAAGGACAATAAAGAGGAGGACATTTTTGATACCGATTTGGATCAACTAATACTTTATGTCAATCACAAACGGTATTAATAGCTAGGTTAAGATATATATGTATATATACCTATTTTTTGACACGGTCTGATCATTTTTTTCAATAAAATTTGATATTGAATTAAGTATATCAGATGTAGTACCTGCTGTCAAACATTGAGAGTTCAAAATCTCTTCTTGAATGATATCTCCGCCGATGTAACGAACATAAACTATTAACTGTGCACAATTAATGATGTCGGTGGATTCATCGCAACTAATGGCAAAAAATGGCGATAATTTTACTTTGTTAATTATATGTGACTTTATGACTGCTGCAATATCATTGATTCTACGCTTGACTGTGTTATTCGAAAGAGAGATTGACTGTATTTTTTGCTCTGTACCTTCTCCTAAAATTATCTGCGTGGCTTTTAGGACACATGGTTTTATTAATTCTTCACCAATAGTATGAGGTTTCTTGTGCTTTGCTATCCTAAAGGTTATTTCAAATGAAGCTTTGAGATGCTGTGATACACCTGTGTGATAACTTTCCGATTTATCCAGTCTCATCCGCTTGAGTGATCTGCTTTAGAAAAAAAAACTCTTTCGTCTTCAAAACCAGGGTAGGGTCTTGTTGCTTCAAATGCACTTCAAGGCGATTGGGCCTCATGCTATCATTACCTAAAACTTTTATACATATCACACACTGAGGCAATTGTAACTCGTGTTCTTCTATGAAGGTATATCCAAACTTAACATAACAATAAAACAAATAAAAAGTAATAAATAGATCAGCAAAATACCTACATGTAATTACTAATTATAAGTATGCCCATTATTGTATATTAATAACGTAATGTATGCAACAGTATATTGGCCACCGGGAGATTTACATTTTTGTAGGCAGGTTGACGTTATAATAGTAATTTTAAATACGTTTGGAATCAATAATAGGTACTTGAAGTTCGTCGTTTCAAAATTATTTCGCCACGTTGGTTTGATTGTGATGTGGTAAAAAAGTCCCAATGGCCGATCAATAAACACGTCTCCACTCAATTAACAACTTGGTAAATTAAATAAAAATGGTAACTGGTTTGTAAATACACAAACTTCCTTTTAACAGTGAGACAATCATTTGACACACTCAAACAGATTTCTCAACAAAACATATACATCGAAACGTTAAATTTTTCACAAGCTTGTGGGAATGAATGTAACAGATGCTCATTCACGTCTGGTAGGTAAGTACACAATTGTTTTCTAAGTGACGAATGTTAAGCGGAGGTGCGCGCGGATTTCATGCTGTGACTTGTCGAAACTTGTACATATAAACTGCGACTGACGACGCCGTGTTTTGAAACAGCGGTTGACAGAATAAGTGAATATGATATTTAATTTCTAATTTTATACATGTAAATTAAACATTACATTGTAATGTTATTTGTTAATGTTTTAGTTTATTTGTTTGCTTTTTCTTTCTAAAATGCAAACGCTTTCCTCCCCCCTTGACATCTCTCTATGCCCCCCTTGGGAGGCGCGCCCCCCTGGTTGGGAATTCCTGGTATAGATAGTTCATAGTGTGCAAAAAGTACATTCCGCGTTTGCTTGGCATGAGCGTCATCAAAAGTGTCCATGGAGGAATGACTCAACAACCCGACACGCTCAGTGACCATGCTGAAAGCTACAAGTCAGTTCCCCATCATGCTTTACTGGTTGCAGAATGCCTAGTCTGTAATCCTCTGTGATGTATGGTTGAGTAGCAGAGTACTACAAGATCACATCTGGATCCGGATGGTTGTGTGTATTGGTCTGCATGTGTATATAATTGGTGATATTTGCTATATGAGCAAATTATAACTCAATGTGTTGCCCATGAAATATGCCTATTATTTGTGCCAGATGGGTTATTTGTGGTGTCCAAAATTATTCATTACGATTTTCCCCTCTTTGTTTGGCATTTTCAAAAACTTTGAGGAGCATTACGGGAAATCAGCACCGCACCCGCGCTTTATGTAATTAAGCCACATCATAGAAAATATAGGAATGACGCATCACATACAAAACCTTTTCGCTCTGCCTCACCTCTAGGCGCTGATTTGTACTTTCTACTTGGCATTGTAAAATAAATTTCTATAAAATTTAAATGGCTGGAAATAAAAATTAATTTGAAATGTAATAACTTTTTTACTTTTCATGTACCATATTTTCTCACATGTTAGTTTTAATATACTTCACCAACCAGGGATTTTCTTTTCCTATCACTCTCTTTTTTTAAATTGAGCAAATTTGCATTATGTAATTTCCAGGTTGAATAAGAAAAGCGGATGTGAAACTAATCCTTTGCTTTGCATATATCTGAAGTAAGGGTATTTGAGACAAGACACCAATGGAATTATCATCAACACAGATTATTAGCACACAAATCCTCACTATGCACTTATGTATTGCCGATTCCTTCCAGCTATAGTATACAACTTACATCTAATGCCTTCAATAATGCCATCGCTGAAGCGTCATGACGTTTAGGCAACAGGTACAGCTACGGAACGAGTACACAACAAGTGTACAACAGCTAATGCTAAGTTGACATCTTGTAGAAAAACATACATAATGTCACAAAAAGACTGTATACTGTCAAAAAATGACGCAAGATTCGGATACGTAATACCCCTGCGGAACGCGGTTTATGAGGGCCCCAGATCTCAAAGTAAACCAAATACCACTGAAAACATTAATAGTAACGCTCCAGATCCCGAAGAGCCCGTGTTAAAAGCTCGAGAAACTGTTAAGAGCAATTGCAACATTACATACCAAATGACAGTCATTTTTCTAAGTTGGCGAACGCCCGAACTCTACTCTGGGAATACTTCCAGGCCAGATTCAGGTTGTAAATCCTATTTCACGAGTAACCGTCACGTTTTGACGTCTACTGAGTTGAACAGCTGATCAGCAAGTGAGATTTTTGTATTAGCACAGGTATTAGTCTGTTCAATAATGAATCCGGTGTAAATTTAGTAAAACTTGCTTGCAGATAGTTTTTTTGTATTCAAATGGACTTTTCTAAATATAAGAGTTAATAGCAAGTACAAAATATATATAAATACGGATCTGTCTACCTGGCGTTGACGTATCCGTCAGAATTATGTGTCTTTTACGTTATCGGGAATTTTCAAGTATTACTAGATAATCAGTTGTCATTGTACCGTAATGGATACTCGCCAAAAAGAAAGTATTAGTAAAGGCAATATCTTAGCCTCAAATACCCTGCGAACCCTACCGTAATGATTGCCTTTGCTGATAAATGAATTAATTATTGCAGTTTGGCGTATCACTGCGAGAGCGTTGGCAAAATCTCAACTTTGAGAAATTCTAATGGATGTGGCAATGCTGCTGTTGTGGACTGTCCACATCTTTTACGAGATTTTCGAACGAGGCTGTCTCTTACTTGTTGTTAAAGATATCTATGGTAACAACCGTAATATAGTCCCTTAGTTAAGTTAGCAAGGGGTAAGTGGCGCTGTGCAATAAATCACCAACTTCCAATTCTTTTTACTTGTTTGTTGGGTAATTCCCTAACTAGGTCACAATTTTGAGGCAATTTACATTGTAATTATTGAATTACTTTCTGGGACAGTTCGAAACAGAAGCTTAAAATCGTTTTTCAATACTGCTGTCATCTGTTGTGCTTCACACGAAATAAGTTTTGGAAACCATCTTTTTGATACAGGCTGCTTTATTACCAGCTCACGCAGTTGAAGAGATCTATTTTGAAACCTTACCACAAATCTGTAGGTTAGAAAATAGACAACAGGTAGCGACCAATAGAATTATGGAACAATGAAAAATTGTTATTTGTCTATCTGATAAAATTATGTGTATTAACCTAACTGAAAAAGTAGCGTCTAGTTTACATGAAAATTTCATTGTAAAAGCTCGGGTCTGGGGAGTGGGGATATCTGAAAACAAGAATTATTACATGAGGCTTTCAGTCGTGCTTCCATCTGGTGCCTGTTAGATGAAGCATGAACTGATTTTTGGGTAGCTACAATTTGCAATTTTGTCCAAAATGTAAATCAATCCAAACCCAAACAGCTGTGCAGATGTCAAACTATGAAACTTCGAGATTTTCCATTTGAACGGCTTTTAATAGACTGAAATACATACAACTATCGATTGTCCATTAGATAAAGAATATATAACTTATTTCTGCTATACAGGAATATAAAAATATCAGCAACGTTACGTCGAATCTTCCGCAATTTTACTTTTGTTCATTTGATAATTTTGGTTATATTATTAGGCCCCCTAGTCCTAATGTTGAAGAACATAGTACTCCTATGCATAGCGGTCCTAAATGCTCAAGGTACGTATATCTAACTGTACAATTGAAAGAGTAACACTGTTTACTTGATATGAGTGATTTGCTTAAAATTTCAATACATTAACTTTTGTCAGTGGAAATATGAAAAAATGCAGTTTAAATATTATTGTAACTGCAATCGTCAGAAAAATAACAGTTGTATCATGGTAAAGATCGTTACTGTTTTACTAAATCCTGTTATTGTAACGTGTCATACAAAAAGTATTACTCCTGACACAGTATTAGCGGGTCCCTCATAATAGTGTTGCTCGTGATATACTGCAGGACTGCAGTTATAATGTTCCTACAGGGAAATTTCAGTATGCTGATGTATTTGTTGCATCAATTACAATTCTAGTGTAAACATTGAAATATCATTTTGCAGGAAATATACTTTATAATAACTGAAAAGTTCATGTCGAGACTGACAAGGTCCCAGAGATATACAAACCTTTTTATGATAGTTTGACTTGTCATTCTACTGTCTACTGTCATCATACTGTTGTGTAAATTCTTCTTTTTATGCTGGATTATACACAAAACATGCTGTTCTGTCTTCTAGTTCAGTTGTTGCACCCACACGATTTAAAACTAAATTTCTCTTTATCAACTTAGATGTTCTCTATTTTTCTAATTTTTTGGTATTGCCTTGGAGATGAAGATTCTGACTCATATTGAATATTTGAAGAGTACATCCTTAGCAGCCACTGATTATCTTGAATGTCTGAATCAGGTACCCTCATAATCTTCACTCAGCGAGTGTTGTCAAATTTATAGCCCTTAGACGCTGTTCATATGGCAAATGCCCAATCTCTGGTGGAATTCGCGCTATTTACGTTGCAATCTTTCCAGTAGTTCAATGTCTTTGACAAAGTAGGGACTCCATATGCTGTGTGCATGTTCAAGTTTTGGTTGAATGTACATCTTGTATAGCTTCAGCAGGAGAATGGTTTTTCACAGCATTTTCAATCAAATATAAATATATCAGTGAGTTGACCTTTTTAATTTTGTTGCTAATGTGAGCTTCCCATTTTAAATTATGTGCTATTATAACTCCTAGGTCTTTCTGGTACTGTACAGTCTCAATTTCTACCCGCCCTGTACTGTAGTTTATATGGGGATTTGTATTCTCAATATGAACTATCATGCACTTTTCTGAATTGAGTGACATTTGCCATTTCTTAGGCCATTCCTCGATAGCGAGGATGCCCTTTTTAATTTCGATCTCGTGTAATACTGGGTTTACAAATAGCTTGCTATCATGCTGCATGGAATGAAATGTTTGTTTTAATACCCATTGATAGATCTGACGTGTAAACACGGAATAGAAGAGGTCCAAGTACAGAGCCTTGTGGAACACCACTAAGCACTGGGTGTGGGTCACTTAGAACCCCATTTGCTCTTACTTGGAAGGTTCTGTCCATAGGAAGTGATTTTATCCAACCTAAAAGCTTAACTCGTGCACAAAAATCTCTCAAGTTTATAAATCAGATGTTTATCAAGCTTTTTCGTAATCAAGATATATCATATCTATGGCATTTTCTTGGTCATCCATAGTTGTCCAATGTTGTGAAGCAGAGAGCAAGCTGGTAATCATATATCTTCCAGGTAAAAAGCCGTGCTATGTGTCTTACAAGGCTTACAAGTAAAGCTTATAGGTCTGTCGTTTTCTGGCAAATATTGATGGAATAATTTTACAACCCTTGCTTGAATCTTGGTTTGGAGACTAATAGCTTGTATTACTTTTTCTGGTATAAACTGAATGGAGGTAAGTGATTCTGAGCACCGGGAGTGAAAAGGCAAGGAAAGAACATTATCTTGCTGTGACTTGGTGAAAACCTTGTTGAACTGCTTTGCGAGAGATGTTTGCTTCACATCAATTATAATAGCGTCACCGCCCTTCAGTGTGAGGAATGATACCTTAGAATTTAATACACTTTTAATATAAGTATAGACATTTTTCTCTGATGTAAGCAAATTTTTTTCATACTCGATACGAGCTTCTTTTATTCAACTTTTTCTTTATTATTCTGGTTTTCATAAACCATGTAGCTTGCTGTGTTTCTTTCCTTCCGGTATTCTCCCAACAGATTCAGTTTGGCATCAATTTCCTTGATATTTTTGAAGTAATCCACTGCTTCTGATTATTTACACTTACTGTCTTCATTGGCCTTTGTACAACAATTATGTCAGCAACTGTCTGCTCAATGTGCTCGTATGCTTCACGGTGAGTTGTTGTTGCAAAATATTATTTATCCTCTCATAATCAGCTGTATGAAAATTTATTTTCTTCATTTCATGTGTTGGTTTATCGTCTGTTTTGAGCTGAATTTTGGCATTATTCACGATGTGGTAACTGCAACCAATAGGAGAATCTCCAGAAATATTTATGACAGCCCTGAATAGAATCGTTTATTTTATTTATATTTATATAGATATCCCTGAAGGATGTCATATTTTTGTTAGTTTACGCGGCATTTGTTTTATTTTATTTTAATACTAGTTCCGCTAGACAACACATCAGATTTCTGTTGCTCATTCTAAATCTTAGAATTCTGCATATCGAGGATTGGCTGGTATATTCGCACCTTTGTGGAACAATATCAATTCTAATTTCATTACCTCAGCTCAAATATGACTTGAAATGCTTGGCCGTTTCATTAAAAATTGAAATTACAAAAGAGAACACACTGCAGTAATAGCAATAATTTTCAAATATTGAATGTCAAGACAACTTTGATCTATTCCTATTATTTGTAGGGACACGTATGTCTAATGGATATTGGAATGGAAAATGGTTTCCTCATGCACCGGATGATATGGATTCAAATCCTGCTGCATCTCTGAGAAATCATCTACTGCATGATGGGAAACATGGAATATCAATGGGCATAGTAGATCCTGCTTGTGATGATGCAAAGGTAAATATTACATCTACATCGTTTTTGTATATCACTGTTTTCTTCACTTAATGAGCGGAAACACAACAATTGATTTAAAAGAATATACTTTTCAGATGTGATGTTGGATCCTTGAAGATGCTAACATAGAGAAACTCGTGTCGGGTATCGAAAACCCAGAGTGCTTGTCACTTGGGTGCTCCCCACGGACGTCCCCCCAACGCCCCAGTCCGTCGATTCAAAGGGTTCCCTGTACTATGCGGGAAATAACATTCAGGCATAAGACCGTAAGACGGGTGCTCTTGCCGCTCAACAGCAACAAAGCTTCTGCCGTTGCATTGAAGAGATATGCAGCGAAGCTTACTCCAGTTCTTTCGCATCTCTTCCACATATCTTACGAATCCGGCACTTTTCCAGAAAACTGAAAATTTGCGTATGTTCTTACAACTACAAGCCTACAGCTATGCTTTCTTTTATGAGTAAGGAGTTGGAGAGGTGCATAAATCGGGAACTTCTGGAGTACCTCGGACGTCACGGCTTGATTAGCGACAGGCAGTATGGTTTCCGGCTCCAGCGATCCACAGGGGACCTCCCAGCTTACGTCTCGTAACTGCGGCGTAAGTTATGGTGAGGCTCGTGTCGTTGCTCTTGATATCAAGAATGCTTTTGATCAGACGTGGCATGCTGCCCTCCTATGCAAACTCCCATCTTATGGCCTCCCAGAGAAGCTTCGCAGACTTGCTCTCTGCTCGCAAGGTATCTGTCGTAATTGACTGGTTCTCCTCTTCATCCCACAACGGCAACGCAGGTGTTCCCCAGGGATCGGTATTGGCTCCGACATCGTTCCTCTTACATATCAACGACCTCCTTTCCTGCACAATTTATCCAATCCACAGTTTTGCTGATGAAAGCACTCTACATGCAGGAATTCGGAGTGGCAAGCCGATCTCTGCCAGTGAGCTGGAGAAAAGAAAACTAGCAGGTCTGATGAGAGACCTGGAGGTTGGCACGGCTTGGAGACGGAACAATCTTGTACAGCTTAATGCTTCCAAGACACAGAAAACAGCCGTTAATTTCGGCTAGTCGGAAACCAGATCACCGAGGACTTCATGTGGCACGAACACATCTTGTCAGTAAGAGCAACTGCTGGGAAAAAGCTAAGCTATTTGTTTAGGGCTAGGAAGTACTTTTCTCTACATGACCTCCCCAGTCTCTACAACGTCCAGATAAGACCTAGCCACAGTAGACCAGTGTGTCGCAGTGGAGGATCACGAATTGACCCACTCAAAAAAAAAACTAACCTAACCTGTATATGGGCTTTACCGATTCTGCCCAATAACAGTTATGAAATTCTTGATTGATTGAAATCAATGTGCTGATCAGGCACTAAACACGCGCTGGTTATAGTTTTAGTTTGATGTCTTTCTTGGATAAATAGGTTATAGTGTCAACTCTGAAGCAGATGTTACATCACAATACAGCCACAGCACATAGCTCAAGTATCTTGACATTTAGGCAACACATTTACCTAGTTCCAAAGTGACAATTATGGCGATCAGATCGCTGTCCCTGACATTTTGCAGTTACGTTAATAAGTTTAACGAGTGGTACTACCCTGTAGTAGTCATGTCCTTTTTTTAAGGGAGAAGTATAAATAAGATTTAGGTCGGCTGTAATGTTATTTTTAACCTTTTTTAAAGAGATTCTGGAGCAAAATTGGCCTGAAGTCAATTCCTTCTTGTTACTGGCCAGGAAATTAGGCAATACGTACAACTAAGTGCTAAGATAACATCTTGTAGAAAAACCTACATAATGTAAAAAAAACTAGCATAATGTCAAAAAGAAATCGGCATAATGGCACTTTTCAAGATACGTGATACCCGTGCCGATCGCGTACCTACTACCTATCGGCCGGAGTCCTGCTGGCGTCATGCACCGACCGTGATGAATGATCTAATGTGGAATCATATGTACTTCGACCGCGCAACAGCGTAGTTTTTTATATACTCTGACCTAACCCCATGTTGGTCTAGCCGGATCAAACAACGTATGTTTAAAATTCTTCTTGATTGTACGACGCTTAGGTACCATCTGTGACCTTCTTCAAGTACAATTGACACTTCTTTGGCAATGCGGGGATTATCAACATGAAAACCACAGTTACATACTTTCTTTTTATTGAAAACTACTGCTTTTTTTATTTCCAGACTAATCTAGCTATAGACTGGTTCATGAATCCTGAAAACTACACATGCTATGAAAATAGACGTCTGTATCTTCCAAAAAGCACAGTGCATCCTATACATAGTACAGATCATATTCCTCCGGAGTATAGCGTAAGAAAAATATTCTTTACAATTATATAAACATAAGTAAATCTATATATTTTTTTCCAGGCCCCTCACAAATGTATGAATGAATCTATTGAGTATGGTGAACCTATTCCAACTTTGTAAGTTTGATTTCATCTTTAATACTTTTGGAGTCAGTACAAAATTATAGGACATTTCGCTTTTGTTGTTTACTGAATACATAGGTAACATATTTTGGGCGCCAAAAAATAATACTATTAAAAACCTTAAAAAGATTCGTTAACAAATTATAAAAATATGGGTACTGTTTGTCTATGCTGCCATACTTAGGTAAAAGGCAGTAAACATATGCTGCTGTTTTTAGTTTGTTTTTACTCCAAAGTGGCCTTGCGTGCAGATTTTTTGTATATTTTATATTTGACAATTAGTCTAAATTTACTTCCAATTATTTTACAAATTTTAAAATGTTAATTTTTTTGTAAAATTTTTAGTTTAATTGTAAATTTCTAAATCTGCGTTTACTTTCAGAATTGTCTGATTATTTTCCAAATTTTCATATGCAATTTCTTTTCCAAATCTCAAAATTCAAATATTTTGAAATTATCAGATTCGATTTTTTTTCCAAGACTATTCTATTTTCATCGGCATTTGAATCTTATGCAAATTTTCGAGTTAATCAGACTTTTTAAAATTGATTAAAATCAGGTTGAAAGATTCCGTAATACGTTTACTGGTCAAAGCTAATACAAGCGTGTTAAAAAAAGGCAGTGAATGAAGTTTACTTTCTTTTTGTAAGTACGGCACTATGCTGCAGATATTTCTAAAAGAAAAGAACAATAATGTGCTTTTTCTGATTGCCATTTTGGCAGTTAAGGCTCAACTATGGTTACTCTTAATTTTGAAAGTGCAGATTTTAGACTCGACCTTAGACATTTTTGTTTTCCTACTCATGTAGTATTCTTGTTACAGTGGAACACACAGACCTCTGTGGGCAATCTACGGCGAATACACATTTGTGCCGATACAACGATGGTTGCATAACCTGGAGCATGGTGCAGTTGTAATGCTCTACCATCCATGTGCCAACAAGAACCAAGTCAATTTTCTCAAGAAAATGGTCAAGAGCTGCCTCTACAAGCATGTCATTACTCCCTATGATCAGCTGACTGTTGAAAGGGTAAATTCATTTATAAAATTATTAAGTATTGAAATAGACACTTTTTTCATACCTAAAAGACCCTAAAACTTTAATCCAAAAATTATTTTTCTTACAAAGGCGAAAACGATGTCCGCTATGTTTGGCCCATAATAATGTGTTCTGGTGTCATTCCATTTGTAAACAGCAGCTGACAGCAACATAACCTCTCAAACTGTTAAACATATGAACATGACTCCTACTAGTTTACATGAGAAATATAGTAATAATCGTTATTGTATCGACCGAGAATGTAAAAACACATCGATAAAGACTCCAGGAAAGCTGTGGATTAGGGTGCCCAGGGAAATAAATATACGCAGCAATACACATTGCTTGGAGCATACCTTATGTTCGGGACATAGTTTACATTTCGTCTCGTTTACGTAGGACGTAACCTACACCATCATCACCGTATGATTGTCTTACAGATGTGTAAGAAGAAATATATTAGATAAAATTATTCTCAGATTATGACGCATGAACTTAGTTTTGAATGACTTCTGAAAAGAAAGATTGTGTAAGTGTATTACTTATTCTTCTATCTGGGTTGAAGGCACAAAAAATACCAACCACGTGTCAATTTTCGGTAAATTTGTGCTTTCTGCTTTTACGTATTCAACGTTCGTGATTGTTTTTTTTAATGCTGACATACGGATGACGTTTCTTTGGTAACAACTTGTATAACGTCACATCACGACCGATAGTGTTTTAACCGTTTTGTATTAAAAGTGAAAAATATACTTTTTTAAAGAAATGCTCATTTATTCTATTCAAAGTAGCCTATTAATGCTGTATAATGTATTCGTGAGATCGTCTGATACGGGATTCTTTCCGATACTGATAATCGGCCGATGTGCCGATACCGATATTTCAAAAACCGCCCAGGTTTTAAAATTTTTCAAAACTACTTAAGGCAAAACTATGATCAAACCATAATATTTTGTATTCACTGTATTATTAATAGCATTAGTAATAACCGTGTCATCTCGAAAATCTATCATTGTCAAATGTCAACGACGAGACGTCAGTCAAATGGCAAATATGATCCGCTAGAGTCTAGCGCATGAACTTCAAATTCGAAATTTATGACTACAGTTTATTGATGAGTTTTGGTGAGCGCTTTTGTTTATTTTTAAGTATTTTCTCCATCCTCAAGCGTCCATAATACCTCGACAATATTTTTACTTCCTACGTTACTGGCGAAAATGTGATAAGATTTTTTGGATGTTAATGACATGTACATCACGGAAAACCATGTCACTTATTTCTGTCGGTCTGTCTGTCAATCTGTCTGCTAATCCTTGGCCCGTCTGTAACTTGGAAAATACTACTCGGATTTTGCTAACGTTTCCACTCAAGATTGGCACTGTGCTAAGGACGACAGAGCTTTGTAGTTTTTGAACATCGATTCACTGGCGACAGAGCTTAGGGCAAAAAGCGAAAAAAAATTCTGTCCAACTTCATTTGTGACATTTCAGAGGCAGGTACATTCATCGAGCGGTAATGTATCGGGTTAGTTGAAGGTGGCGCTGGTATCGGGAGAGGGGCGACGTTGCCAGATAGACGGTACTAACGGTAGTGCAGGGAAAATATGTCTATGGACTACTTTATTGTATGGGCCTGTTTCACTAGCTTGTTCTGTTTATTTTTTCTGTTTTACATGCTCGTAGCCAACTTTTTTCTCAGATGGTCCAACATGATCCTATATCCGAGTGTTTTTTTAAATAGCAAACTTTGTACACTAGCTGTCTGTGTCATATCACTCTATACATGGTGTTACAATGGTATTCATGCATAAATTTCCTCACCCCAAATTTCAGCTTGAAAATAACAAATGTATGTTACACAAATTGCTGCATGAAACATGTGCTACAAAATCTCCTTAGTAACTGCCTCTGACATTGGGAGTAATATGACATTTCAGTTTAAATATTGTCATTTGTTTATGTCAGAAAAGATTATTCTCCAGTTGTTCGATTTTCCACAGTAAAAGCCGTTGCATTAGCATGCCAGGATTGCGTTGTTATGAACTGGGCCAGCCTGCTCTACGCCATTTTGAACACGGTTTTATTAGTTTACCTTTATGTATGTATGTATCGGAATCTTTCAACCTAATTTTCACCAATTTGATTAAGCTGAAAATTTGCACAGGCGTCTAGGGCTCATGACAATACAATAGTATTGTCCGATGACAAGACCAAATAATATTCTTCAACTTTGAAAATTAAAAAAAAAATGGAAATAATATTCAGATTTTTTTTTATTCTCCAACCACCACGAAGGCCTAAGGGCTAAATACCCATGTGGTACCGTGGGGCTATAGGGGGATACAGGGGAAAGGGGGAACGCCACACGGACTCTGGCGAGAGAACACGTGTGCATGCAACATGGACACATTTTGGCCCCGCCTACGAGATCCGCCGGGTCGTACCTCTGCGTTCGACAGTCAGAGACCGTCTACCACCTACGGACAATTACAACATTCATAGCCAAGAGAAACATTTCTCTTGGGACGGAATTCGAACTCGCACAGCGCACGGCGATCGAAGAGTCTACTACTGCGGCCACCGCTGCTGCCTGAAGATTTGTAAAATAATTGGAAAATTCGGAAATTTGCAAAATCAATTCAAGCTTTAGAAATTTTGAAAACAATTTGGTAATTCACAAAAAAATAAAAATTTCGAAATTTGACAAATGAAACATAATTGAATTTGGATTTAAAATTGGTAATTTCGGAATATAAATGGAAAATTTCAAAAAAATCATTATTAAAGCGCGTTTGTTGTCGTTTTTAGACAAAACTTTCAGTAAATAAACTATATTTTAAAAAATACGCTTTAATAACAAATCGATCTAAAAAGTAGAACATTTTTCAAAGGATTCAATTATAGTAGAAAAGCATGGGGTGCAATCAGATGCATCTGCATAATACTTTTATTTTTCTAAATGGTAACTGAATTTAATATCAAGCACCCCACGCTTTTTCTTTACGATAATAGATTTTTTTCAAAATTACTAAGAAGCTGTTTGCAATGTTGTAACAATGTAAAATTGCAATATTTTTTTAGCCTTTGGCGCTGGTTACGTGGGGTCACCGTCTAGAGATGTCTAAAGTAGCGGGGGAGCTAGTTGTGGACTTCATAAGAAAGAACGCCCTAAGGGGCCCTGAGAAGACAACGAAGGATGGCCAATACTCTCTTACTTTGATAGAAAGGGCGAGAATTGTATCCGATATTGATGACTCCAGCTTGTGTCCAACGTATTCTAACATGAATATGAAATAATGAGTATTGATGGTCGAATTTAGGGTTTGCAAAAGTTAAAAGGTACTCTCGTGGTAGCTTAGGGAGATTACACGTATGTATAATGGTGGAAAAGTGTACATGTTTTGTTTAAGTAAAATTTTGTTAATATAAAGGACCTCAAACTATTTGTCAGATGATATGTTTTTGGTTTTGTGCTCTTGTCGCATGAATGATCGTTTTAAAAAATGATTGATACACTTTGGGTGTCAGTGACTCCCTACTCTAAAATTAAAAAAATATTTGGAAACACTGATAGTGTTGAATTGATTGAGATTAGACAGAGTGTTAGTCAACGATATGCCATAATTACAATCGCGCATTCCTGAACCCAATTTAAGCATATAAACGTCTGTGTCCTAAAATGTAAGGTTCCAAGATTCATGGACTCAAAGTTCAAAATAAAAACATCCTAGTACCGATTTTGTTAAATTTTGGCAGTGTTATTTATTGTACTGAGACTGTAATAGATATATCTATTTCGGGCTTTTGCGCCGTTAGTAACACAACTTGATTACAGGATGATTAACTTTATTCTGTCTAAAAATGTATATATTGATAGGTATTGCAAGGTACCTCGGTCATTCCTCTGCCTAGCGCAGCATTTCCGGTGAATTATATTACTTGCAATACCTAACAAGTTTCTAATAACAATATATTATACAGTATGATCTAACCATACTACAAGACGCTAAGTTTGTATTAACTAGGAGAAAATTATTTATGAATTCCAATGGCGCCTCGTTTAACAGTAGCTAGAATAATACTAACTAAAAATGTACGCCACTTACCTTTTAAAAAATACATATTTTTTCGAATTATGCAGATGAAAATACAACTTTTTGCCTCCCGGTATCGCTTCGTATCCTTCTTCGTTTTTGAGGAAAAGAATAAAAAAAATTTCATGACATATCGAAAAATTAATAAATTATCAATTTAAATTATTCGATATCCAATATTCATTTATGTCATTTTTAAAATGCAATAATCCGAAAGTAAAAACTGTATAACAAATTATTTACAAAAAAATGACCACCTACCGCTTCTGTACTCTTAAATTTTCACAATTTTTGGACATGTTATAAGTTATTCTTTTTCTCAAAAATGAAGTAAAATACGAGGTGGTACCAAGAGTTAAAAAGGCGTATCAGTTACTTGATCTAGAATAACATTTATTTTTAAAAGGTCAGTGGCGTACATTCTTTTGTTAATATTGTCTGTGACACTGCCCCTTGATACGCCACATAATTCTCTTCTATCCATAGTTAACTTAGGCCCGTATCGTCAGTCGTCCCTACAATTGTAGGGCGCCTTTATGGCCTCCTTGATTGTCATAGTTTTCTACTTCTCCGTGTCAGCGCTCTATTTTGAGGTTATGTCACAAACATCTATTTGCATCAAATTGTGCTTGCTTTAGAGTTTTATCATGTTTTATCAGCCTGAAATTTCCTACAATTTAAAAGGAAAACATATCTTAACAATAGGAGAGCGCTGACGCTGACACGGGACGAGTGTAATCTAGAAATGTTTGAAGGAGAGAAAAGAGTATGACAATCAATACGCGCCCTACAATTGTAGGGACGACTGACGATACGGGCCTTAGTGTCTTATTGCAATGTACAACACTTCTAAAATTCCAGATAATGGGCACCAGGATTTTTCAGGTGCTAACAAAAAACAATTTTTTTTATAAAACTGTATATTGAAATCCATATTTCTTAAAATACATCTTTTTATGAATTTTTGAACTTAAATTTCCGTTCAGGAATGCATGCGTCCTTGTAATTACGGCCAATTCCAGCATAAAATTGCTTAAAACAAGAATGACACTATTCCACCGAGAAAAACGTTGAATACACTACCATAAGTCTACCCACTGTCTTACTTGTTGTACCTGTATTCTGTTTTTATTAGAAAATCCTTTCTTCACTAGCCTCCTTGAAACGATCATTCGAACGGGGCTGTCTGTTAATAATTAATTAATAACTTGCAAATTTGTTATAATTTGTTACTTTCTTTCTGAAGGCATTTACGATACTTTTATTCTAGGGTTACTTAAAAACATGCATGCAAACCTCAGCTTAACAAAACCTGCAGCTTAGAAGTCGATAACATAAGGTAAACATTCTTAAGGGAGCCAATGCCATTGAAATATCAATAAAAAATTACTTACTACGTCGAAATCCTCGTTTAGGACAACCAGTCAAAAAAAGAAAACGGAGAAAAAGTATCAACAAACTAACAATATCAAAATATACAAAACTGATCATTGTTTGGCTACATGAGTGAAAAATTATTATTTTGTTTGCATACTGATGGATGGAACAATTATTGCAAACCTAATATGGTTACTATTTAAGCCGGCAGGTCGTTGTAAAATCTGTATCTTAGGTTTTCAATAATTTATGGAAATAAAATAAAAGTTAAAAAAATTTCACTCATGGTGTCTAACAATAATCAGTTTTGTTTATTGTGATCTGTGCATTTGATGTACGTTTATTGATGTTTTTTCTTAGGTTTTTGAGATTGCTTATCTTGCAAGAGTACTTGACCTTGTAAGTAGCTTTGAATATTCTTGTAGCCAAATGATTTAAACCAATGATTTTTTCAATTTCAATCGTGATTCAAATTAAACTGCTGCAAAAGCAATAAGTCGCGAAGCTAAAATAACGCATCAGGAAATAAATAAAAGAATTTATTCAAAAATAAGATTTTACAGTATGTAAGTTTAAAAACATAACTAATCCTCATCAGTCCAACGTAAATATTCATAAATTAAACTTATAACAGCACATTTTACAACAGAAACAGTTTATAGTTTGTAATATTACCTACATGTATAAATAATAACAAATAAAAATTATTAACGAATACATAAGTGGTACTATAATATGCACATTGAACAAAAACGTTACTCTGGCTAACCTACAGAAAAACATAAAAACAAATTATGTGCTTAGGAAATAAATTGTAATACTAGTACAGGAAAACTAATTTAGCGGCTTTCTCTGTTTCCATGCGATTTTGAAGCTTGAAATCTACCAAACCAAATGTCAAAAACAGCCTTTCCACAGATGTTGAAGAAGCTGTAGCAGATAACAGTTGTTTATTGGTGGGCAGTACTTTTTGAGCAGCATCGCCATTTTGTTGGGTTTTCCACCATTTTAAAGCTTTTGAAGTTTTGAGGATTTGTTAGTCAAACCTTATGTCGCTAAAAGGATCTAGTTTTGCCAGGAATTGAATTATTCGTGGCAAGGACACACTGGTAAGTAATTATTTTGCGGCTTTCAAAGCACAGCTTTTTTCGTCTGCTAATAGATGTTGTGGTTTTGTCGGATCAAAAATATATCCTTACAGATGACATCGAGTGATGCATTGTTCGTATTGGTGTCTAAATTTTTGTATTTGACTTAAACCAAAAAAAAGGAGTCTCCTCAAACATTGATTCGACATTTTTGAATTCTCTTACGTCAGAAAGGGTTCATAATCACTAAATGGTCAACAGCAGATCTTTTCAAATAGATATTTGATTTTTTTTCTTTCGCTACGTCATCGATTTCATTCTTTTGCTACTCGCTAGTTTTCAGATGTTTTGACCACGGTTCAATGAACGCTTGTAAGCAGTCAGCCAGTGAATTCCACCGCACGTCATTACGTAGAACACGTTTTTTTGCCTTATTTTGTGTATATCGTAGAAGCAAAGTGAACACAACACAGTTGTATGAGGCTTTCCAGACGTGTATATTGTGTCTATCATAAAATACTTTCCATTTTCTATAGTTAATGTAGCACAGATTATCGGTTTCCAGCGGTCGAGCTAGATGTTTCTTTCTTTTTTTTTACTGACTGACCTCAGAGGTAATAGCGATTATGAAGTACTATTCTCGAGAGTTTAGTGGTAAGTTCAGATGTGAGATAGAACTGCTACTCCTAGTAAGCTGTTGTACCTGCAATTACATACCATAATATAGTTCCCAGTCGATATGAATACCTTATAAATAATGTATTTGAACAAAATAGGTTTGTACTTTAAACACTTTCATTACCCACTTCTCGCATTTAAAAAGTAATATAACTACGAAATTGAATTCTCACTCATTTAGATAACCTGCACATGAGCCCGCAGGGCACCCACGTGGCAGGACATGTTTTTGTCTTATATATTTATATCAAAGTCAATTGGTTATAGAAGCTAAACAGGGCGTCCATGACAAGTAGTAGTAGAGGTGGAGAGGCAAAACCTCGTAGCCGTTTTGCCGACCCCGTCGTACCAACACTGTACTACTCCACGAGCCATCTACTGATCATTGATATATCCAGCGATGAGATATACCTGTTAAGATTGGCAACGAATTAAGTTCCGAGACGGAGATTAGGACCCGAGAGCCCCAGCTTGGTAACTCGACGCGCTGATCACCGAGCTACCGAGACTCTCACAATATGATAAATCAAATTAATAATAATGGTAAACTGAACCCACATTTAAATAAATCTAGTCCTGGGCAAGTAGTAGCAGTACTGGCGCTATCTCTCTTGTTAGTATTTAATATAACTGCTTGACTATTTCCGTTTTCTGATATACTTCCCAGTGTTCTTAAATCGTTCAACAGTAAAGATGGATAAAAACAACCTAAAAATAACACGATTTTTTTATTTAAAGAAAGATCGGGATTTTTTGCAACACCACTTGAATCACGTCCTGAAGAAGAGAATGAACATTTTCGAAAGCTTGGTATGAACACAGAATAAACTTTCTTTCTGGGCTGATATTTGATTACATTATGGCTGCTTCCTGAAAAAATTATCGCTTTGCATCTTAGCTAGTCAGCCAACACTACCCTCCTCCTCTCGGAACAGAAGTAGTATACAATAGTTCTAGGACTGGACTAGTCCAGATATCTATATTGTTTCTCTTGTACTATGGCTAAGGCTGCTCATGCTTATTTGAAGCATAGCTCACCCACGTAGTCATGAAAAAAAAGTTGCGCCCAGTGATACATTTTGATTATAATATTGATTAACGTATTGATCTGCGTATTCTGAAAATAGTCAAGCATATACAGGGTGCGGCAGCGTAACTTCCTTTTTCAAAAACCTGATAAAACCCATCCTATGAATCAACATTTTTACTTGTTTTTTATAATGTAGGCGCATTTTTTATTTTATATTTTGTATACATAGTTTTTATCATGACGGTGTTAATGATGTCCACATAATAATTTTGTAAGGTACCATCTGAGTACAATATGCTTTAGCGAGCGATAATATCAGAAAGAATATATTAATAAATTAATTTTATAAATGTCACATAGCGCTAAAAAAATGTTTTTTATTGATGTCCGCAAACGAATAAACTCGTATCAGATAATATCAGTATAAATCTATTATGAAACAAATTTTTTCAGTAAGCTTAAATGTCATATAAAATTGTTGTGTAAAGATTTATAAGACAATATTAAAATTTGTCGTAAAATTGTTTTGTATATTTGCTCTAAGAATGTTCTTACGACTATCTATAACGCGACTATAAAGCAAACTACTTCTTGAAAGCTTAATTGTCTTACTGGAAAATTTATTAAAACAAAATTGGGTGCAATAGCACGGACAGTTGACCATTATAAAATATCTTTGCTAGTTGCCAAAAAGCATTGAAGTCCACATTTTTGCCTTATTTTACGTACCTTTAGCCATCACCAAGATAGTAATACTAATATATTGAAATTGTAACCTATACTCGTATATACGCATGGACTTTTTTACACTAACCCTTATATCTGCTATACATCTGTGTTTGAAATATACGCATAATTAAATATTTTTATAAAATTTGTTATTAAGCAAAAACATTTAATAAGAACTCTCGAAGTAAACATGGAATCCATATTTCGTGATGTTTCAACTTCATTTTACGACGGCTGTTTTTAAGTGTATTACAAAAATCGTTTTTGCAATGACAAAATGTGCTAACTAACTACTTTAGTGTTGATATAATGATACTTAAATTATTTTATTACAATACAAACCAGAATAAGAAATCAATACAAAATTTTGACCTTTTTTCCTAAAATTCAATAATAACTACTATACTTGAGGCGCGTAAAAATCTGGCTACTTATATCCCATTATACTAAATGACATGGAAAATGCAACACCGACTAGTTATGCTGTAATTTTGAGCATATTTTTTCAAGTAATAGGTCTACTGATAATTAGAAAGTGATTAAAACTCTCGGAATTTCGCAAAATAGCTATTTCCCACGTCAATATTAATAATGTGTTGAAGCTCCTCTGTTAGCTGCACATTCGCCCAGCCGTCGTGGCGTTCATTGGATTAGGTGATTGATGTCTTCTTGGTGTATCGTATCCCAGTCCTGCATTTGGTTTTGTAGAGCCTCCAATGTTTGTGGAGGGTGCGGTAAATTTTGCCACATTATTCCAATCATGTCCCATACATGTTCGATGGGGGAAAGGTCTGGATATCAAGGAGGCCACTGAAGCGGATTTACTCCGGACGTTTCTAACAAGTCTAAACTAACACGTGCGACATGAGGTCGTGCAATGTCCTGCTGAAAAAGTTGATCTTGCAATGTTTCCGAAAAGGGCGGCAGATGTGGTTGTAAATATTCGTGGATATAGCGCTGGGCCGTCATGCTACCTCGAATGAACACTAATAGTGATCTGCTGCCATAAGCAATGGCACACCATATCATAACACCCACAGTGCGATGAATATGCGATTCACCGCGTCTCCTCCATACTACTCCATACTCCAATCTGGTCTCATCGCTGAACACGACTGAGTTACATTCCATATTCCATTCAAGTCTCTACCTACTCCATACTAAATCGTTGCCGACGGTGCTGTGGGGTCAGGGGTAGTACCAGATGGGGACGGTGTGAAAACAGTCCAAAGGACCTTATTTGGCGATAAACTGTCCTCATTGTTATTGCCCTTCCAACAGCATCAAACCATTGGTTCGCAGCTGCCCTTGTTGTGTAAAATCGATCTCTAATAACGATCCTGTCTTTCTGTAGTCTGTCTTTGACGTCCAGTGCCTCTAACTCTTCGATTTCGGCCTTCTTGGAACCGAACAGTAGCTTCGTTTTGATTCACCCGATTAGCGATTTCTCTAAAAGAACATCCGGCTTCACGTGTCCAAGCCCTCTCAAACTCGAAGTTCAGTTAAATTAGCGCGTCTGCAAACTCTAGGTATGATAATGCTATGAAACAACAATCAAACAAATGGAACCAATACAGAAAAAGCACTGAAAATTAAGTAAACACGTTCATATTGTTGGGATCCTGATATGACAAAAAAGCCTTTACAGAAAAAGCACGGCTCGGAATGCCTTCAACATTTTATCAACGTATACTTCCATGATATCAAATGTGTTTACAAGTTTCTATAAAAATTCAATAAATAACTCTGGGTGTTGCATTTTATATGTCACTTAGTATATTATACAAAAAAATTTCTTGGGCAGTAAAATAAAAACCATCAGATTGCAAATCTCTCTTACTCAAACATATTTTATTTGATAAAAAAATCTAATGCTTGCGTTTTTGTTATATCAAGGATCATTAAACAACAAATTATTCTCAGTGGGTGCACTTTAACAACAAAAGCAAACTTTTAGTGTTAGTCAAAATAAAAATCTGCTACTGAGATAATAAAACAACTTTTATAAATCTGTTTTATTCTAGCTCTATAAGTGTTTTCAATAAAATTGTTTTGTAATTTTAAAAACGTGTGAACAGTTATCCGGTAAAAGCTGTGGGAGACTTAATAAAAGAAATTAAAAAAGAAAATTGCCGCACAAGGGTGCAACTTTTTTGGGTTTATAAGCGTTGTATAAACGCTGTTATAACGTTTATAGTGGCATTGTTATTTTATAAAGATAGTTCTGTAAACGTTGTTAGGCCATTTATAAAACATTAATCGTTAGTTGTGACATAGATGGCGCTAGTATCCTTTTGGTTCATTTCTAGGCCCCTGAATATAATTGGTTGCCTATCTTCAGGTAAAATAAATTAGTCAATTAGCAAAAGCATATTTTGACTCATCAGCTTTAGAGCTATTTTAGCATAGAATCGAATAAGTAAACTTTTAGAGTACCGCTTTTAAGCCCTATATGGATGAAAATCCAAGCAAATCAGTGCTTAGTTTTTTAGTCCCATAGTGATCCTACTAAAAATGAGAATAAAACTTATTTAAAGTTTATAAGAGTTTACATTCTTTTTGTATAGTTCTTTATGTTTGTACTTATATTTTATTATCCGTATTTTTGTAGTTTGTGTATATTTTATAGCAAATACTGTGTTAGTATCATTGTTACTTTTATTCTGATGATTTATGAAATATTATTTAATAGTTTTTGAAAGCCAAAATATATTTTTGTATGTATAATCATGAACGAATTTACATGCATATAAGAAAAGGTTTATTGAATTGTTACAATGATATTATAGGCAATCGATATTTTGCCCCATTAAAATATTAGTACTGATTGGAAATATACATATATGACAAGTCCAGATTACTATGTATGTATAGAAAGGATAAAATAATGTGATATACCATGTTAGTTAATGAACAAAGTATTGAAACTGTATTAGTATAGATAGTGCAATATATAAGACTTACTTGAGTGCTACTCTTATTATTTTTGGCTTATTGATGTGATAGATTTAAAATATAACTGAAACTTATTATATGGTTCCATCTTCATAGGACCCCGTTGTCTGGGGAACAAAATCATATATATTTTAATTTCTGTTTCTGTCTTCCAGGTGTGTTCCACCTCAAGGCTAAACTGTTGTGTCTTGTATTATTAGAAAGTTTTTGGTGCAAGAAACGTAACGAATCGTTAAGCCTACCGTAACGTTACTTTTAACAGCGACACAAATATGGAAGGTTGGAAAAGCGATTTGACAGTACCGTAAATTGACAGTCATGTGAGGTTGTTTATTTTTTTTTTTTGAATTTAACGTGAACCTATCCCTAAAATTTCAAACCTTTGTTGCAGCTTTTCATGGAAAAGTTTCGTTTATATTTTTTGCCAAACGGGACAAGAAATGAATAGGTTTAGAATCGTATAATCACAGAACGACAACTGACAAGAAAACCAGCAGATCTACAATAAAAGGCTACTCCGCTACAATGCATACGTTGTTGTTATGATGAAACCTCCTATGTAACATTTTTTCCACATCGGAGCTTTCTGAATATCTGTATAGTCTAGTATGTACAAGAGTTTCATAATAAGAAACTAGTACATCTCTAGAGATTTACTAAAAATCTAAGTGAATGGAAGCGAAACCAATTTCTTAAATTGAAAAGAGTTTTTATGTCATTATGTAAAATTTTTTGAAATAATGTACATAGTGATCTCCCCTGAACTTTAGTTTACTATCAATATATATGCCAAAATAGTCAGTTGATTCAATTGTTTTGCCAGTTATCCTAACTGTGACAGTGTTTTCATTCAAGTAGCTCCTTGCTAGCATACAACTTGACAGAGCCGTCTTCAGAGTGGATCGGCCCCTCCAGGCCTCACTCGCACTAACAAATAAGTAAAAAGTGTTGGTTGAATGAAAATAATATAACAATGTACACATATACGTGCCTAAAATATCTGTCTGATTACTCTCGCAGTATGTCAAATTATTGATTATTTACAAAACCCACAAACGATATAATCGTCACCAAAAGAATGAAAAACATCGTTTGATAGTGGCAGCGGGGTACGGGGTGACAGCTCCCCAAACCCCGCGCATGCCGGTGGGTGACTCATGCATGCCGGTGCGCTGCTTTGGAGTTGTATCGCAGTTATTTCAAGCACTATTCCATTTTTTCAGAAGTTTAAAGTTGCAAATTTTGTGGTGGCCACATTTGTAGCAAGGGAGCTTAGTGATACACTGGGTGTAGAGCCAAAGTTCAAAGAAGTCAGACAGATAAAGAAAACAAGAATGTTTGAGTTCGAGAGAGAAGATGAGCCTATGTCAGTATCTGCCAAGCAAAAGTTTAAACAATATCTTAAGATTTTTACTTAAGTGTACCAACCAAATAATAGTATATGCAAATAATATGAATATTTTGTAATAATATGTGCTTATTTCTGATTTATTCACTACAAAAAAAGATTTCTCATACGAATTTATCTATTTCCTGGCAGAGCTAAATTTTATTATAATTTTCCTAATGATTCATTGCTTAAAAAATTAAAGTGAAATTAAAGAAGACCATAGTCATAAATCATATTTCTTTATAATTTCAATTCTTTACACAGGTTAAAATATTGTTTACTTACATCAAAAATAAAAATAGACTCAACCCTGGCAAATGAAAAAAATTACGTAAATAATTGACGTGTTTTGAGATGAAATGATTTCATCAAAAACACTGTTTGCCCGAGAATTTTAAACATTTTCGGAGAAGACCACGTTGTTTAAAAAAGGCCTCGCAATAATGTTTTGCTCCAGGCCTCGCAAAGCCTTCCTCATTTTCCTAAGCTAATGGAGCTTCCATATTTCGATAACGGATAACAAAGGTCTGTTCTGCTACTGCGCAAAATCGAAATAATAAGGAAGGTTATAACGAAGCAGCAAAACAAAGGCACGAAACTCCATATTTCCTTACAAGACCAACCACATGGCTCCTTTTAGATTTTGAAGTACTATTCCTCGCATTCCAGATCCATGAACAATGCGTATGCAGTTTAGTGCATGATTCAGAACCGTTCAATCAACACGCTGTATAGGAATGAATAAAAGTAAAAATAAATGAACGGTTACTTGGAAGACAGATAAACAAAATATACTGTCATTAATTGTCATTGGACTTGAAAACGGCCACCGTGGTGGTCGAAACGTCGTTCAATACTCGAAAACTAAAATATATTGTGATGTAATTCGGCCAGGCAATGGTGTACTATAGATTTAAGATAATGATACTGAGTTTGATAGATCGGTACCCAGACAACAGAAACACCTATATTTACACTGGCGCCTTATTTTTATCGTAACTTATTTGATGGATTCCATTTGTATACAGTTATTGATTTTATAGATATCTGTATATGTGCAAACAGTAAAATATAATTTTTTCAACGAAATACATCATTTAGAAGCGTTTTTTACGGAAGGTTTTGTTTAAGTAGTTTGTTTATAGACGCAAAAACAAATTAATATTCGGAGCTACTGGCGACCGTCTGTCAATTTTAGTAACATGTTGACTTCTGAACAATATGCTCATGTTGAAGAAACTTGTCTGACCTAAAATATGCCTAATAATGCCAAGCAAACTATAAAGATATTTGCATTCAAAATATGGATCACCACTAATGAATTGATTCAAAAGGAATGTTTTTGATAGTAATTTTTCAGGTGTTTATTATAAGTGTTCAGTTTTTTTTTTTGAAAACGTTTATCATAAAACAGTAAGTAAATATGCACTTTTCAAACCCCATATTAGTGGCAACCATATCTTGGATCTGAAAATCTGGTAGGTATGTACCTATATATGTACCTGTAATTTGCTGTACCTAACTAATGAGTCTGATTCCTATGCTTCATTAATAAAATTAAGTGTGCCAAGATTTATTTAATATTCATAATCCTGCCCATAAATATTATGGATTATCTACCAAGTATCTCTATTTACAGTAAAAGGGAAAAATTATTAGTGCACATATTACATTTACATGCCCCTCAATAGTGTAAAAAAGGTACCTATACAATCAATAATTTTAAAAAGTTATAAAGAATTGGAGAATTGAAATTACGTATTCATTATTTTTACAACATCAACATCTGGTGTCACTACTGTATTATTTCTAAGCGAATCTTGGTCAAAACTCATAAGAGTAAAGTTTCCTCTTGTCGCGCACATGTGTTTTTGATCTACGGATAGATATAACCTTGTAAGTGCATATTTATGTGTAATCCAAGTTGACTGGGCTATGGTTCCTGAAAGAATTAAACAGGGATGTGAGAATGCGTGAAATAAATCGACTAAAACATCGATTTGTTCTTTTTCAGTCTTGTTCTTTGTGATAAAATGGATTTTGGAGGAAAAAATCTATCTTTCTGCAAAAATCGATTATTTCTATTAGTCGATAAACTACATGCTTTTTATATACGAACAAAAAATTAAATAAGATGAGTATCAAAAAATCAGAATGACAAACTTTTTCAAAACTGAAAAACCGTTGGAATGATAAAATGTGTTATGTTTCTTCATAATGAACTCGGTGAACTTAAAATTAGTTATCGTTTTCAAACGTGATTGATAGCCATATTGAGGGGTTTGAAAAAATATATAATACCTAATCTATTTTTTGTCAAACCCTTTCTTTTAATAACTCATAGTGGAAATGTGTAATCTGTTACTTTGTGGATTTGACGTCCTTGAAGTTAGCTCCAGATTCAGATTCGAATACGATGAAATTACAGTCAACCAGTTCAGCAGTGAAACTAGTATTTTCAGCTCCTGAGGGCTGCTTTATGTTAAATAAGGCTTTTAAACAAATTATTCTATATAATATTCGGTATTACTATGGTGGAGTGAACGGGAAAACGAGAAAAGGCACTAGCGTGCTATCTTAATAGGAAAAATGCCAAAAATGATTCTTACATGACTGTTATTAGATCTGATTAAAATACCGCATACCTGTTAAACTAAATTAGGCTATACAGGGTGATTTTGACAAACGACACCTTTGTGTCGGGAGTACATACAAAAACTAAAAATATCGCAAAACCCAAACGAAGAATCGTGCTACCAACAGACTCATACATGCTGTAGAGGCTTCATAGGAGTACATCTCTATGGCATAGCTTTACGAAAAATCAGGTGACTACAGGGCGAATCTGGGCATACAAGGGTTGATTCCTCAAAACAGAAAAAAAATCGCAGAACCGAAACAAAGAATTGTGCCAACAACAAACTCATATATGTTGTAGAGACCTCAGATGAGTACACCTTTATGGCATCGCTTTGCGGGAAGTCAGGAGACTACAGGCTGAATCTGGGCATACAAAGGTTGCTTCCTCAAAACAGAAAAAAAATCGCAGAACCCAAAACGAAGAATTGTGCCACCAACAAATTCATACATGTTGTTAGATCCCA